TATCAACTCCTCTGGTTTGACCTTTCAATGAACACATTCCTAATAACTCTTCTAAGACTTCAAAATCTTGAGTAACACCTCGTATGAATATCAGAAGTTGAGCTGTGGAACTTATATCAGTGGATTCGTCGAGTGCTAATGAAAAAAATTCAATGATCTTAGTTTTTTCATTTAATTGTTCCGCAATATTACGTGACAAAGACATAATTCGTCTTTGGATAGTCATACGATTCAATTGAATTTTCTCAAACTTTTTGCTGCTTTTTTCTTAGCGGCAATTTCTATGCATTCTTTTACAAAATCCCCATCATTGAAGGGGCGACTTCGCTTTGCTATCATTCGAGAAATTTCATAACTAACTTCTGTAGCTGTTTCTGAATCTTGAATGGGTTTTGTAAACATAGCTTGCTGACCAATAAGCTCCCGTTTTAAAGACAAAATTTTTTGCTTTCTTAATTCGCCTGTAAACTTGGTAAAAGTAGGATGCTGCGTTCCATAGTGCCTTTTTACATTATATTCCTTTGCAATCGCAACAGAATTCTTGCAAATTAAACAAACGACTTTGTTTTGCCACCATACAAAAAAGTATAATTAATTTTAAAGTAAGTAATTTCTCAGTCCAAATTTCTTGAAACTGCCGATTTTCATCTTTAATCTTACGTTTTTTACTAGATCCTTGCTTGTCCATGTTGCGTTCTAATCCTGGCTAGGATTAACACAGCACCTAAAACAATTACAGTACCTACTTAAATTACCCGTCCTTTTTTAAATTACCAAAAATAATTGATTAAATAGGTAGGGAAACACTTATTAATAACAGAGTTTTACTTACGATTCCACAACACAATTATACACGGCACTTGACGGGAAATCTACGTTGAATGTGGATCAAAATATATGACAGACAGTCGAGTTAAAATCTACACTAGAACTATTGAAACTTCACTCAAATTAAAACCGAACTGTCGGTCGCTGCGGTTAGCGTGGCTTTTATACCGTGCGTATAGAGTCGAAAACTGTCTGGAGAAATCACGAAACCGACTCTGGAAGCTTCGTGTATCTACCTACGGGAGCAATCGGGAATTCGGGACTATTGCTATCTCGCTTGCTCTAACAATATAACCCTTGGATAAGCCGCCACCGCGCTGCCGACGTCACCGCGCCGCCGGCCGCGGCGGTTCCTCAAGAAAACGAATTTAACCGAGATCAGCACGAACATTACCGACCGATTATTATTTTTGCTGTCGGCGGGCCACCAGTATTCGATGGGCGAGCCGCATGCGGCCCGCGGGCCGCGGTCTGTGTATCTACATTTTAAAGGATAAAAACTTATTTAATAATTAGAGTTTCCAAGTTTTAAAATAAGTTTTATCCATAATTATTCCAATTTCGTTTTATATCCCTATCACCGTGCACGTTCTAAAACTATTTTTCCACGTAAACTTACTATTGTAAGAATTTATGGTGCAATGAGGTGCAAAAAAAATCAGTCATTGTAATCCAATTACAAACTTTGCATCCAAGTTTTTAGGTTAAATTAAGGCCAAATTTTGGTAAAAATAAAAATTGTCGTTGTGTTATCTTAACACAAGAGTATTTTCAGCTGTTTATAAATAAAAACACTACGTATCAGTTATTTTCTCCCTTGCTCATTTAGACACACTCTGCATCACATGTGTTCTACAAACTATTCACCCCTTAGGGGTAGAATTTAAAAAATGCCAAGGCAGTTACTATCTAAATTTCAGATTTAACTACGTCTAGTAGTTTGTGCTGTGTGTTGAGAGTCAGTCACTCAGGATATCGTCTTTTATTTAAATACCTAGATTTACATTAACATAACATAACATAACATAACGGCACAAACTACAGACTCCCATTTAGCACGATCTTGACACACCTCTCTTGCCTCCTCCACATCCATATCCCAATTTGGCCCATTTTTAAGAGAAGAGTGTGGTTTGCAAGATGAAGTTTGGACCAGGATTAAGAAAGGAATGCTTCAGTGGTTTGGTCATGTGGAAAAATGAATGAGGAAAGAGTGACAAAGAATTTATGTTGCAGAAGTGAATGGCATAGTCGGAAAGGGACGTCCTAGGCGAAAGTTTATCGACCAAATTGGCGATATATTGAATACGGGACAAATTAGGACATTTACATTAATTCACAAAATATCAAAAACCCGTTAAAATATTAAATTCCCAGATCTAAAAATATTCAATGAGAAAGAGATTAGAGACACTACATAGACACAGATGATATACCTTGAAAATGAATTATAGTTTTGGAGCGTGAGTGACTTAGCCCGTCGTCGATGAAGCTCACGGACTACTAGCTTGCTACATGTTTAGTAATCTGTGCGGAAGACTGAGGGAGTGTAAAAAGGAAAGTGATGGTATTACTTACTTCATGTACGCAAATTATGAGACAGCTATACCAAACACGCACTCGGAAATAAACTACGTAAGCGCCAAGTAACATTTCTACTCTTTTTTCAGAACTATGTTATGGATTAAAAGAATGGTATATGCGAATTAAGATATATGATGAGGTGAAATGTTGTTATAATTCTGCACTAAAATCTCGCTGGCAATCATGAACACTTGTTTTAAAAATCATACAAGTAGTCCTACTCCTATATACGTTGGTAATGTAGGGAGGCAGAGTGAACTATAGCCATAGCAGCGATCACAATAGATCTAGGTCGCAGTGATACTGGCCTCCTTCCCTAGTCCTGCATAGCTGCTCGCACTTAATAATAAAAAAGGAGACAGAGCGCGAAATTAGATAGACTACATCGCGATTGCAAAAAGATGGAGATCTTGCATTTCCAATACTAAGACTTACCCGGGCGCTGGTTGTGGGAGTGATCAAAAATTACTAGTAACGGATTAAATTCTCTATCTAAAAAAGTGCCCTCGATTGATACGGAAACCATAAAGAAGACCACCACCAAGGAGAGTTTTCATTATTTAGTCAAATTGTAGAGAGAAGAATCATTTAACTCACTATAGATTGCAGTATTGACGTTGATCAGAATTGAAAATAAATTGAAAGAGATCATACTGACATCAGGTAAGGAAAACAAAGAGGTAATGGTAGATGCTTCAAGCAAAGTGTGGATTACAGAGTAAACTTTTTTTATAGAATAAGGATAACAAACGAGTACACAGTCCACCTGATGGTAAGTGGATGCTTTAGACATAAACATTTATAATATTAAGCTGCTATTTTACGCTGGTATTTTGTGAGAGCGTGGTTCTTCCCCGGTCGAGTCGACCAATTTGTTGTAGGTAGGTAATAGGTTGTAGCAATCATAATATAGTTGCAGCGTAGCTCTACCACGTATAAAATGGGAAGCCATCGAACAACGGAAGGAGTTACTAAAGGGCGATCTGAGCTTTGATCAGGTACAATATCAGGAACTGTTCAAAGTACAACGCATGTGTCACAAAGGTTTTGATAGTTACCTTAATTACATCTGTCAAGATATTGCAGATTATGCCCAAAATGTTCATACTAGAAACCTGTTTCTAAAAATAAAAAGTATAAGACTGTATCTCTAATCTGAAACCAAGAATCTGGGCTATAGAAATTCATAAGGCCACACTGGTGACCGTGGTTGACAGAAAAATGACTGTGAGAGTCTATACGCACGCACCACGCACATCCTGCAATGCCCTCTGTAGGAACGCTAGCCGAATTGGATGACCAAAATAAGGAACCCGAGATCCTAGAGTCTGAAATCAGATGTGCACTACCTAAAATAAAACACAATCAAGCAGATGGATATAATATTTTTGTTGAAGAACTAAAACACCTTTGAGAACAAGGCATAAAAATAATGTGAAATCTGTAATATAGGTCCACTGATTGTAAAAATTGATAGTGATCCCATTGCACAAAAAAAGGATAAACCAGAATATGTGGGAGTTATCGCACGGTAGCTTTGACATCTCATGCGAGCAGGATAAAGCTCCGTTTATATCTACAGACATTGAGCGAGCTAGACCAAATAATATTATTCTTTATAGTGTAAATTAACATATTTATAACTATCGTAACACGACCGCGCAGGTGCCGACAGACACAGGCCGTGTCCGGTCAGTATTCGTGGAAAGAACATTGTTGGCGACGCGAGCTAAATCATCTCATTAAATCTTTCAATATTTCGTGTATGGGTCAGACCGTAATTTTGCCACATAAAATATAGCCTACTTTTTACTTAACTATAACTATTATTATATTTTTCTCGATCACATCATTGTATTTCAGAAAAAAACGGTGAACCGAGGCCACGTTACACATTTAAATAAATTGGACTTTCAAAATTTATATGACTTGTGTTGAGTTTATTATCTTTATTATTTCTATTACATTTTTAAAACAGAAAGGACGTTTTTTTCATTACAGCCGTTTTAAAGTCTTTCTTTTTGTCTATCAGTCTTTGTGTTGATGCAAAAAATGTCTTTTACGTTCAAGTTTTGTATTGGTACATTAATAGTGTCATCAATGTTTACAACGTATTTAATTAGATTTTCTTCTGTTTCGGTTTTATATTCGGAATATTCCTTATTTCAATACTTTTCGCACGGTTTTGTTTCTCTAATTGCTCTATTTTTTGTTCAAACTGACTAAATATTTACGATCTTTTTCTATTTACTTCTAAGATTTGCATTTTTTCTATTAGTTCATCATACCGCTCCAGTAAATTCAGGCGATTCTTGTAATTTTGTATTCAGCAAACTATCCACGCAATCTAGTCTAATCCAGTGAACAATCTACCAATGCTCAGGATCGATCATACAGAAAACTATTCAAATGAAAACAATCAGGAAACTCAAAACATTGTGGCTGCACAAGTTCCAGACAGACCTGACAACAATGAGATGGAAGGCAAAACAATACGTATATGAATAGGACTGCTATTAAAAATATTCAGATAAATATTGGGAAAAAAATGCGACGTGAAAATAATCAACTTCGTAAATACGTTCATAATGAGAGGTTACAATTCTCTAAAGAATGACTTAGCGAAGAAACACCAGGAGATGGATGCTGAAACTAAAAATCATGCAATTAAACAAGAACAAGAAAACACTCCCTATAAAAAATCAGAAAAATTTGTTAATGAAGACCTGACTGATGTTGCAACACCGGTAAAAGAAACTATAAAAAAAGATTTTAGAATACAATGTTCTCACGGACTATTAAATCAAAATTTAAAACCAAGATACGTTTAAAGATGTTGTGGATAAATCTATGGTGAAAAAATATAGATTGAAAACCTGCCTTACATAGAGTCTTGTCTCAAAAACAGTTTAAAAGACACAAGAAGACAAAAACAAAAACCCATAATCTAATAGAGACAATAAGGAGATTTTACGAAAGAGCACCTTTTAAGCACTTTAAAAATATATAGACCGTCTGGCGTTTTCTAAACCAACTTTAGACACGTATTTCTTATGCAAGGTTTCTAATTTGTCTAATAGATAACGTACTTAAATTTTATTTTTTGTATGTCCGGCTTTCCTTCTTACCTGCGCTTGCACGTCGTCTCTTTCGTCTCCTTTTAAGTTCTTTTATTTTGATATCTTACTCGATAGATTTGGTTAAAAAATATCTGCAACTTACAATTTGGCGCCAAAAATCCGCCATTTTTTTATTTTATTACACCAATCTAAGGACACGGGTTGTTCACACGAATCTAATGACACCTTAATCATCGAAATCCGTCTAAATGTTTGAAATTATAAGAGGTAATAAAGAAATTTAAAAACATACTCAAAATATACGCACGGAAAACATAACCCTTCCTTGACAATCGGGTAAAAACACACAATGTATTTTTTACCGTGCACCTTAACTATTTTAACCGACGAAAAAACGGAGAAGGTACTAAAGTCGACACGTATATTTTTTTATGTACGCATAACTTTTTATAGAGTTGTCCGATTTTGATAATTCTTTTTTTTTATTGGATAGGGTGTACCTCGAAAATCGGTTCCATATAAATTTGTAAAAAAAATATTACCCTAAGGGTGGGAAAATAGCGGTTATTTATCAAAGAGTAGTCCGAATTTGATAATTCTTTTATATTGCTTAGGGATTGGATTGGATAGGATATTGCCTCGAAATTGATCCTATATAAATTTGGATTTTTTTTTTTACATAAGGGTGGGAAAATAAGGGTGATTTATTACAGAGTAGTCCGATTTTGATGATTCTTTTTATATTGAATAGTTTATAACCTCGAAACTAGTCTCATATAAATTTGGAAAAATTACCCTAAGGGTAGGAAAATATGGGGTGATTTATTGTTTATTCACAGATTTTAACGTGTTGTATATTACAACATTACATAATAATTACATTACATCAAAAAAACCACACAATAAATGAGCTTTAGACCTGTCAGTCTCTTGTGTGTAGACCTCTCAGTCTCTGCATTTCTGATAAAGCTCATTCATCGTGAGGTTTGTGTAATACCTTATTTGGCTCTAGATCAGATAAAGTAGTGCCTTCAAGTGTTTTTACTCTACTCAGAGTGACATATGCCTGCCGGTTGGCAAACATTTTCTTTCCGAGGTCGATCACAGCTTTAAACAAATAATAGTTAAGTAGGATTATATAACTGTTAATGGCTAAAGTAAAGTAAGTAGATATTTTAAAAGTAATGAAATATTAGGCATGTAGTAATTAGTAGATTATAGCCACAAAAATTATAAAATAAAAACTTTTTAACAAAAAAATTAAACCGCCGAAAAAACTGAAAAGCATAAAATAATAAACCTTTTTCTTTTACCTTGATAACTAAGTTCTTAAACAAATGTAAACGTACCTAAATATATATTATTGTAATTATTTTGAGTTTTTGATTAACCTTAATAACTAAGTTCTTAAACTAATGTAAGTATACCTAAGTAATTTTGAGTCGGAGCCAAATAAGCAAATTACTTAATTACGTAAAGCGTGATGCGCGGCACGGCACGCCCCTTCGCCGGAAAATACCAAACTTTCACGAAGTTAATATTAGCGAGACAGCAGACATTAAGATTTATATTTATAACAGACAGGTTATACACGTGACCGTCCGTCTGTCAAAATTCAAGAGGTCAAATGTGACCGCACCCACCCACAGCACTTTAACCCATAAATACTTATGTTTGGAGACTATATTTACATGAAGAAGTTTGGCATTATAGAATCAATAATCGAAATTTTCTATCCTCTAGTGGAATAAAAAGTTACTTAGTCTATGGATATTTATTTATAATCTAAGTTCATTTCGTGTGAATGTTATGGTGTTTGGTGGTTATGGTTATGGTATGGTTATTGTATTGATTTTTGGATTTTTCTAGTTTTTTATTAGTATTTTAGTATAGTGTTTTCTTATATAAATTCTAATGAAGGTTTTTGTGTGAATATAATTTATCTTTTTACGTAAATAATTTCGAGTAATATATAGAAATAATTTAGATTTTCACGCTACCGACATCCTCTTGGTTTGTGTTTTTTTGTTATCAAAATACAATAAAATGTTTTTGTATTTAAGTAAAACCTGACTTTTGTTTAGACCACAGGGTAGAGAATTTTTCAAAGATTTTATAATGCCAAAATTTTTTATAGAAAAGTAGTCTCTAAATATAAGTTTTAATGATTTAAAGTGCTGTGGGTGGGTGCGGTCGCATGCGACCGCTCGGGATTTGCCGAACGCATTTAACTGCATGGGATTTTTATTTTTAAAGGGTTAAATTTAAGGTTATTTATAGATCTTTGTTCATTGATTGCTATCTGGTCGCGCAGGGCTTGTAAGGGTAATAATCATCGTAAAGGTCAAGTATGAACCGTTGATAAAATTAAACAATAAATTATTGACTAATTCTGTTTTTTGTCAACTTACTAAAGTTTTCTAAAATGATTGTAATAGCAACTTGTAATTGTTTTGGCTAGATTCTGTATTAAAATAATATGATAAAAATGTTAATAGGACTTTATTTTAACAATAAAATGCTAAGAAAAATTAAAAACATATTAAAGGTGCAATTTTGTTTAAAACTTTGTTTAAAACTCTGTTTAAAGTTTTAATCCTTGCATTAAACTGTTAAATTGTTTTAGATAGATGATAATAGTATTGGTAAGAGCTGTATTATGAAAACTGTTTTTAGTGTTTTAAGATGTAATAAAAGTTGTAATCAGAGTTTTTAAGGTCTATGATCACACAAAATTGATTTTAAAAATTATATTGTGTCTTGTATTTTATTAATGTTTTATAATATAATTTGAATGTTTTATCATTTTTGTAATGTACGTAAATATGTTCTTTTTGGAAAATATTGATGTTATGTGTATTTTTATGGAAAATGTTATGAAAAGTTATGATGCAAAGTACAGAAATGTGACAACAGAAATTACGCGCGGAATAGGAGGCTTTTTGCGCTTGGCTCACTTTAACGTTTAGCTTGGTAGTTACTTACTACTTTAGGTAGGTACTTAAGAAAAAGAGGATCTCCTAGGTGTGCGTTGTGTGTAGTAAGCTGTGGCTTCATACAACCGCTGGTACGACATACTCCGCCGATCGTTGAGTCCGTATACTCTGTAAGGCGTCGAGGTCACGGGCCCCTAGGCAGAACCTTAGGCACTTTAATGCGCTCGTGCTTACTGTGCCCAGTCGCGTCATTGGAGTGCTACCATACGCACTTCCCCCAACCCTTTCGTTGTGAAAGGGGTAGGCAGTGCCCCAAGTGTAGCAGCCAACACCATCTCCCACCACCTCTACCATCCGTCACCTGCCGCCGAGCCGAGCCTGGAGCGCCTTAATCAACTTTACCAAATCGATGAAAGGACGGGTGGGTCCGCCTCAATGCCACCGCTGCCAGGCCTTTGGCCATGCATCTGCCAATTGCTTCAGGCCAGTGAAGTGTGTTCGCTGTGCCGGGGACCATATGCTAACAACTGCCCAAGAGGTAGAGAGGAGGAACCCAGATGCGCTAACTGCGCTAAAAACCACACTGCAAACGATCGCCGCTGCCCAGTCCTGAGGAGGATTGCGAGGGGATCACTCTGCCGGGCTTCATACCGGAAGATCCCAACAGGGTCCCCCAGAGTCGCCACAGAGTCATAATTCGGAAATACGGGTGGCCCCCCATCAGAGGAAAGGGAAGGCAGACTGCCCCCCCCCCCCTCCACCCGTTATGACACCAATGGAAACGATGGCACCGGTTACAACAACAGCAACCAAAGCAACCACCGGGGCGACTCTTCAACCCCCAGCTAATGACGCCACCGAGAGTCAACCCTCCCAGAGGAGTAAGCGGGGGAGGAAGAAGAAGATGAAAGTGCAGCCCCCTCCTCAGGCAGCCACCTCTACCCCAATCCCAGCGGTAATGATAGCCCAGGCGCAGGTTACTGCTGAACAACATGCATCCAAAACGAGTAGAGCGCCAGAAAGGGCTCTATCGGAAAATAGAGCCCACTCTACACATAGAGCGCGTTCTACCCACAGGCAAAGACAACAAGAAGTCCAACACCCGAGACCAGTGCCAACGCATTTTCAGGCACAGAGAACACCACCAGTCGGCTTTGAGACAGCAGACGCCATCCAACGTTTGGTTGGTATAGCTATCGAGGTCGGCAGTCAGGTCCTGGCCGATATAAGAGCCGGGACGGACCCCATAACAGCAGTGATGAAGGCGCTGGCAAACCTCCTGGCTCGGCACTACACAAGAGAGTAACCTGCGTCTCCTCTACTGGAACCCGGGTGGAATACAGCATAAGCTGCATGAACTCCGTACAGGCGCCCAACAACAGGACATCCATATGATCTTGCTGAGAGAGACTAAAATTATTCCAAACACGCATCTGAAGCTGCCCAATCACCATATGTACAGGAGGGACGAGGTCACTTCTGAAGGGGCCGCCTATAGAAGGACGGCGGTTCTAGTGAGGAGGGACATCGTCCATCAAGAGCTAGACCTGGCAGATTATCAATCGATGCGCTCTATCGGCATAAAATGGATGCGGCGGGCGAGGAACTAAGGATCTATGTATACTCCATTTTGCTACTCAGACATCCGGACGGTAATGGAAGGCACCACGTCCACCATCATCGCCGGGGACCTAAACACCAAACACCCGGCGTGGGGATCTAGAGTGATCAACTCACTGGGTCTTGATCTATACGAAGACGCAGAAAGGAATAACTACGACGTTTTAGGTCCCGAAGAGCCTACTCACGTTCAAA